TGCGGTGGAAAAGTAACCTCAGCTGAGAATTAAAGCCACCCACCTTTGTCTTCAAGCTCCAGAGCAGACAAATAACTGGCTCTTTCCATGGTTCCATTTTTATTTTTATATTAAAGTCTTCTCCTCCTCTTCTCTATATTGCATTTTTTTGCTTTCCCACTTACTCTTTCCTCCCACTCAGTCATTCTCTTTTCTCTCTCTCTTTTCTCCCCTCTCTATTCCAAGAGGGACACTTCTTTAACACTTGAGCCGTGGATGTACATGATACACATGCCAAAGAGAAACAGAAAAGTTTGGGCTTGGATCAGGTCCTTTATTTAAAGGCACATGTTAAAGATTTGTGATGGTCCATAGCTATGTCCAGCAGCTTCCCCAGGTCTCAGTGCCATTTTCTACCTCAGTGCAACTTATATTTGGTTTGTGTCCACCTCTGTCCTGTCTGCAGCCCCTCTGGCCGTCGTTTCTGTAACTGAGACCCTTCCTTGTAGACACCGTCCTCGCCTGTTTGCCCACGATCACACGAGAACCTCAGCCTTGACAAAGACCCGTGCTCTACTGTAGCACTGCTAATAGCAACAAAGCCTGCATGTAGGTTAAAGGTCTCATTTGTCTCTCTCTATGCAAGTTTTTCATACTTTTGCAAGGTGCTAAATATTGCTTTGCAGATAAGAGCAGCAGCATGGAACCCCCAGGGCAGGGGAATGGGAAAGAGCTGTAATTATTTGCTGCAAGAGTTTGGTCTAGCCAGGGAACAGCCAACTAACTTTAATTGCTGGCAGCAGGCAGGTAGTTGGCTGTTTTCTGGCTAGAGCAAACACTTTGCAATCTGTTTTGAACTCTTCTCTACCTCCATAACTGAGGAGTGAAGATAGTGTGAGAAATAGTGGTTAATAGAAAAAAACGTGGTATTAAATTTTAAGTTGACTTCACACTCTATTAATGTGTGTCTTCCCTCTTGAGAATGATAATGCTTGAAGGTGAGATGAAGGTAAAGGGGACTACGTCTGCATGCTAGAGAATTACCTGCTGCTGTTTTATCCTTGAAGAACTGCATTTTTAAGTTGCATGGTCCTAAAATTTGAATATACTAAGTTACGAAGTGAACTTGCTTGGTCTTTCTCTCTGCATTTGTGCTAAGGGTGACTCGAGTTGCTGAAGACAGAGGGATTTTCTGCCAGCGTGTTCCCTTGCACACTGTTCAAATACGTTCAACTCTGCTTTCTGATTCCTGGGGCAAATACTTGATACGGCTTGCTGGGTTAGCTGTTTTTATGGAGCATTGATGGACTGAAAGGGCCTTTTCCATCTCTTCCAGCTTTTTCTTGCTAATCCTTTTTTGTTTATAATTTTCCTCAATAAAGAAGGAAAAAAAGTTCTTTGAACTGTTTTGTCATAGGGAATGAGATCATCAGTCAAAAAATTAATAAAAGGAACAGCTTGTTCTTTGTTCTTCTGTGAGGTGCCACCAATTCTCCTTTGATTTTACCATCGTATCAGTCTTACACACAGAAGGTTTTGGAGTGGGTTCAGATAAACCAGATTCTCAGACCAAGGTGCTGAACCTTCTCCAGAGCTCCCTGTGGGGAGGTCTGCCACTCGTAGCTCTATCACTTGGTAAGCTTTGAGGGGATCCAGGCTTCTAGAAACTTGGAGAAATACAGATCCTTTATATTCTGCCATTCTAGTAGCCTGCACGATGGTAAAGAACAAGGGAAATTGTCTTCTCTGTGTGCAGTGCCGCAAGGGCCTCAGAACCCTGTTGTTTGCAGTAAGGTGGCAACAAATCCTGTCCCTCTTGCAGAGCGTTGGCCCAGGAGGAGCTTTGGTGGCTGAGTGCCCGGCCCTTTCCCTATTTCTACTTACAGACCTCAGGAGGAGAGCTCCTCTTTGCAAAGGGCCTCATTACTGGGTTTTGCAATGCCATAGTGTAATTCCAAATAATACTCCTGTTTCCCATCCATCTCCCTTGCTGTGTCTCTGTATTTGCAGAGAGAGGCTAATAGGGTACAGCTGGTTAATAAAATGTGTTGCTTGATTCTAAACTGCATTCCCTGTTGCTAAATGTCTCCCATGTAGCAGCTTTGTAGTGGTGGAGTTCGAATGGGATGACAATTTTGCACCCTCTTTCAGATGAAATGATTTTAAATGAAAAAAATCCTGGAGATCCTGAGTGAAAGAAGCCATCCAAGTGCCTTCAGCATTTTTCATTGCAATAGATGCTTCTTTCAGCTCTTGCTTTAGTATCAGCATATGAAGTGTCTGTCTTAATCTCCTGTATGTTCTTATGTTAATTCCTTTTTGAAAAAAAAAATCATTGAACTGGTAGTGTATGCCTAGCTCTAGGGGTTGTTGAGCAGCTTTGGCTTCACTGCAGGAGAAATTTAGATTTGGGGTGAAGCAAGTCTGTGGTTTGTAAAGGACTCATTTCTGTAAGAAATTTAGGGTATAAAGTCTATCATGACGGAGAGCTACATGCCAAGACTTGAAGCCTCTGTTTGCTGGAAAAGTAGATTTCATCAAAATGAAGGTGGAGTAGACTATGTGTAGCACCCTGTGGTGTGTGGTCCGTGCGGTGTCCACCCTTTCCCCCTTTTCTCTGTTCTCTGACAAGACTTTTTCAATAAACGAGTGCTGGTTTAACTCTCTTTTCCTTTCAATCAGGCCACATTCTCTTTTTTCCTTGGGAAATAACACCAGACTTACAACGTGTGACTTTGTCATAAAAATTAATGAGACTAGAAAAACTGTTTGTGGACCTGGAAGAGAATCCTAGTGAATAGCATTTCTCTGTCCACAAAGCTCTTTCATTTTAATTAGCAAATAAACCAGGAGAGAGCAGTAGGCAGGTATTTCTGTGCAGGTTTAGGCTGGTATTTTGTCCAACACGTTCAAAAGCAGTGATTTGAGAGAAATCAGATTGGTTGATCGCTGTGCTGTATCTTCAAGTTCTCTTGGTCTGAATTTTTTGGGGGTGAGGGAGATAGGGTGATTCATACTTGAGCAAGACAAACCCAAGAGTTGCCAGTTTGCATTATGTCAATGTATGTAAGAAAATATTTAGATAGAATTTCCATTAAAAGTTCAAAAGCAGGGGGCTCATGCTGACCCCGGCTTTTTAGAAGCTCTGGTGGGAAACCTGAATGAAATTCAACTCCTCTCAATGTGTTTTCGTTGGCTAACTCCATGTTTTATTATCTCATGCAATGAGATCTTTCTTAGTTTGTCGATTTTCTACCGAGGACAAAAAGTTCATGTATGTAACAGTGCACATATTGAATTAAAGTACAATTAAAGGCATGATGTAATGACCCCCTCTCCTTTTCCTTTCGTCAATATTTGCCTGCAGGGTCAATACATTACAATATTGACTTCAAAGTATTCGATATTTTTTTACCTTCTGAGTGTGTTGGCTTAGAGTTCATGTAATATTAAACCTGTTGGTTGAACTGTTGGTCTAAGACTTACTGTCTAAGTAGTTTCAGGCTTGGATGCCTAATCCATGTAGAACAGCTTTCAAGGCATGTGATAATATCACAACACAGCTGTAGGCAGCTTTCTGAGGTGAACCACTTAATCTGCAGTCTTTTCTCCCAGCTTCCTAACGAGTGGTGGAATTTGTCCCTTGGTGTGCGATGGGATTATTGTCCTCTCCCCCTGCTGCCATCATATTTACTCTCTGCGGGACCTTCCAGTGACTGTAGGTTATGTGGACAAATCTAAAGCCCAGTGCTCCCGTCTTCCATGGGCTTTTCTGCTGCCTTTACATCTGTGCTCTGTCGAGTGTACAAAGGCAGCACAAAAAGCAAGATAACGCTTTCCATACTCAAAAGTGCTGCACAAACATGGCTTAATAAAGTTTAGTTAAAATTGTTACAAATTCAGTCGCACATGGCGTGTCGGTGCTCACTTATCTGGGGGCACAGTGGGCTAGGTGGCTCTCATAATACAAGCTTGAACCTTCTCACGCTTCCTCTTCTCCTGTATGCATTTCCATTCCCACTCTGCTGAAACCTAGCACTGGTACCTATCAGAAGGGCACACGGGCAGCTGTATTGTGTAATGACAGCAGCTATGAACCATTTATCCTTCAAAAACGTGACACTCTAGAGAAAGGCTTTGATAATATTCTTTGCAAGGCGTATAAACAAACAGGATTGTCACCAGCCATGGTATCTTATTACGGTGTCTTTTTAAAAAAATTAAGGAAAGAAAAAATATTTATAGATACCAAGAAGTTAGTGAATTCCTCTAAAGAACCAAATGTTATAATTAGGAGCCCACTGCACTTAGAGCTATTTTACAAATAAACACCTCAAATCTAGCCTAGTCCTTCCAGAGAAAACAAAGGTCAATAGGCTTCTTTGAAGATTAGCAAACCAGAATTTCTTGGACCAAGGTACCTAATTACTTCCAAAGCTGAGTATGATGACTACTTCCAAATCCAAATTATTGCCAAAACCTCATGATAAACTCAGTAGTACTCCTCCCTAGCCTAACTTTTGGATTAAGATGCTTCTAGACTGGACTCTAATTAAAGGATAAAAAGCCTAATCTGAAGGGAAGGCAGGATAACAGAATATTGTGCTTGTGGACAGCTGTGCTTCTGCATAGCCTGATCCAAAGTCGTTGAAGACTTCCCAGGTCACCAGCAGCAATTTGGGCTCAACCAGGGTAGAGTGGAAACAAGTGCAGCTCTGAGAACCCAAAAGCAAGCGTCGCCTGCTGCTGCATACCTGGGAAAGGGTGCCCTGCATTGCCGTGTGGTTGTAAGGTGGGGTTCTGTATTTTTTGCTTACTGTTGTCTGACAACAAAGGGATGAGGACTGACCTCACTATTACAAGCTCCTAATTGGAAAGACATGGGTTCTATAAGGGTTTTCACATATCCACCACTGTGCTTGAGGATTCACTCGTATGTTGTAGCCAGAGTGGTTGTGAATTTAAATATGGCAGCAGTTCATTTCTACCTGCAGCCTACAGACTTCCTTGTGCAATTTCAGGGAACTTCGAAGTCGGCGTTCACATCGCAGATGTAAGCTACTTTGTCTTGGAAGAAACAGCACTGGATAAAGTAGCGAGCGAAAGAGCAACTAGTGTCTATCTAGTGCAAAAGGTAAGGACGATTTTTCTTTTTTTTTAATCTGATAACTATGTCTTCTATTTACCATAAATTCATCTTAAAGGTTCATTTTCAGATGCTCACAGTCAAAATCTGGCTGTTCAGCAAACCTACAAAAATGAGTAAATTGGTGCCAATGCAAGAGCTAGCATAGCTGCTGACCACCTCGGGTCTGCCAGGGCTTGTCCAGCTCAGGAGCAGCTCCATGTGAACGGGACTCTGCTGATCTGGAGCTAGTTCAGGGCCCAGAGCTGCACGGCTACCTTTGCACCGTGCTGACCTGAGATAAGCCTGACAGACTCGAGCTGAGCTGGCTCGTCTGCTTTGCTGTTGGGAGCTTAAAACATGCAGATGCAGTCTGGAGAGTTTTGTCTTTGTCTTCAGTGCAGTAGTACTAGCTAATCCCTCCCAGAAGTGGATGCATAGCAGAGCAGGGTGTAAAACATCCTGTGCAATCTCACATCTTGAGGTACAACAGTATTTCACAGGCTTTACTTTTATCTGGGTATCCTGAATACTGGAGGAATTATGTGTTTTCATCATGCACTGAAAAGGTATTTGAAATTGTACAGATTTTTGTGTAACAGAATCAAACGTTAAAGTCAAGTTTTAAGTTGACTTCTATACTTTAAAAATGTACGGGTTCAAGTTTAACATTATTGGGAAGGAAACAGCCAGGTTTGTCTGTGCCCGTCTCATTTTCAGTTGAATGTGCAGAAGCATTTCCTAGCTCGTCAGATACTGCCGGCACTGTGCGTGCAGGGAAGTCGGGAAGCTCGGCTGCCAGCGTCTTGCGTCGGCTTGAGGCATCAGCTGCGTGGAGTGCTGAGGCAGTCTCATAGGAGCAGATTATTTTGCCTCTCCTCACACTCTCATTCAGTCAGGCTGAAGTCTTTGTCTCTGCAGCCCTTTCCTGGATGACAGGGCATCTTTTGTATAATAAATAAACATATCCTACTTGCTGTGTACGATTGGGAGTGATTCTTCCCCTCCCTTCCTGTATGTTCCCAGGGTTGCTATCTGGGAAGGGTCTTGTAATGATGCTTTTTCCAGTGGCTTACTGTGTCCTCTCCGCACTTTCCAGATGATAAAATGACTTATTTTACACTATTGAAATCAAGTTAGTCATTTGATATCAAGCTGTTAACCTTTAGTAGCTGTTCCATAACTTACTTTGGGTAGAAATAGCAAGAGGGGCTCAGTGAGTCTGGTGGATTTTAGGTCTCTGTGGGTATGGGTTGCATGGAGTAACCATGATAGCAATGCAGAAGTGCCCAAGCTGGGTGTGCGGTAGCGAGCCCGACAGCACAGAGGTGCTGCAGTGCGGGACCAAGGAGTGGCCGCGCTGGAAGACACCGGTTAGCAGTGACTTACTGTTCCCCAGGAGTGGGAAGCAATGTATCTCATGGAAACAGCAGTTCTGGCACTAGAGCCTTCCCAATCCTCCAGCCTCTGCACTGATAAGCCCTTGGCTTCTGCAGAGCGCTGCTTCCCCCCCGCTGGATGACTCAATGGCCGTAGCTCGCTATGGGAGATGTGGGCTGGCTCAGGGGGGAAATCACTGCAGGGCAGCAAAGCTGTAGTCCAGGAAGATGTTGTGGCAGTATTTCCAAGTCAAAATACTGTTTGAAGGCATGTGATTTTTTTTTTTTTTAAAGGGAGAAGGAAAATTTATATAGAGAGAAGAAGCATTTTTCATGAAAATCTAGTTCAAAAGCTGATAGAATTTACTTTCAAAGCACTTTTTCCCTCTCAGCATTAGTAGTCAGGCATGTGCGATGCCAACATAAGTTATCTATTGCCCTTAATCTTCAATTGCTCTTCCGCTACCTTTGCCCAGCAGTCAGGATTAGTGTTTTACCCACACTTCTGCCCTGCAGAAAATATATTTTGAAAATGCAAACTAGGTTGGATGATGAAATGGTCAATATTTTAATTGCAAGAGATGAAAAGAAAAGAGGGGATGGGCAAAGGAAAGCAGCCAGGCTGTCTGAAACAAGATGGTAGCATGACTCTTGTAGAAAATATGCTTTCCTTTGATGGAACGGTTTCCTAAGACAGCCGCGATTCTGCTAGAGGTTAGCACCATGCTAATCCTCCCAAAGAAGTTAAATAAAGCCACATATTTAATTTGCCTGAACCATGTATCCAGAAGGGGAGTTATTGTGTAATTGCTAGCAGTCTATTTAATAAAAGTCGAAAGTTTTTGAAATAAGAGTGTATCGGGTATTAAGAAGCAAGAAAACCTAAACAGTTTCCTCTTTTTTGGCACATCTCACAGTGTTATTTTAGGTGTGAAGCAGCTTGAGTGAGAGGTCAGCCATAAATCCCTATAATATTTTATCGGTCCTATTTTATACTGGAGATCAAAGATCGGAACTGTAAGCCTATCTTCACGTTGAGTCCAAGGACTTCGAGACATTCACTTTTGACACCAGCAGGTTGTCAGGGTGTTGATATTTTGATAATCTCGGGCTGAGTAACAGAGTTGCTAGAAATCTGAATTCATGGAAGTGTTGATACAAGTCTTGAGCAGAAATCTTGGCTCATAAACGAATTGCCTATTTCCTTTGACTGTCTTTTAGTGTGTAAGCAAGAGGCTTGCTGAGCCCACCCCATTGTGGGACCTCGGCGTCCTCCTCCCAGCTCTGGGGAGAGCAGCTGATGGAAGCTCTCGGTTAATACAATCCCTCCCCATCGGACCGGCGGTGGGAGAAGAGGTCACTCCAAGTGTCAGCGGTGGTCATAACCAACTGAACCAAGCCTGAGCGGGCAGCCAAAGCGGGGTGCCAGCAGAATGGGGCTGTTTGAAGGGAGCAAAGCTATCCGTGCAATTTTGGTAAAGAAAACCCCTTTATTTTCAGAGTTTGTTCCCTTTTCCCGTTGGTTGACTGGTCGATTTTTCCCTGTCCATTCCTTGAAGAGCTGCTAGAGCAAGTCCATTGATGACAGCTGCCATGGCTAACCTGCTCTGAACCTGGCCCGTGAGTCGGTCCTGGCTGCAGCAGATTTCTGATTTCTGTTTCTGATTTTAAAGGGAACAGGGAGTTTTATCATCCCAATATGCATGTGCTCCCTCCCACTGCCCGGCTCCCTAGGAATGAGTCCGAGGCTGGAAACTTGCGTTTGGTTTCTGGAAGCACTTTATTAGCCGAAGAGGCAAAACAAAACCAAGGCCTCTGACAAGCAGGAGGTTAGATCTTCCCATGTCCAAAGCAATTCCACCATGCAGAGGAGCCAGCTGCTAAGCAGCGTGGCCGGCCGTGGTTACAGGTCCATGTGTTTTATAACCCCAGGACAATGATGTGTAGAAAACCCTCAGGCTCGGCGTTGCCTTCTCTTACTTTGGTTTTCCCTTGCTGCCCGCTGCTCCGGTGTGCTGGGACATGTGCCTGCCTGCGGGGAGACCTGAGAGCAGGGGGGGATGTCGGGCAGTGCTGGAGATTTTGCGTGCAGGACTTGGAAATAGGGAGGGAGAAATCCTCTGTCTGTAATTTGATTTGAAATGCAGACCCACGGCTGCGAGCATTGTGGATATCAGCCTTTCACTCAAAGAAGTGCCCTTTCCAGAATCTCTTGGGCCCTGCTGGGCTCGTGGGAAGAGATGATGTCTTTTATTAGTCTGACTGATAGAGGGGGATGAAAACCAGACAAGCTTTCACCACCCAAGCCTTTCTTCAGCCCTGGTTTCTATGCTACATTCATTAGGAAAGATTTCCTGAGGGCCATAGGTCCTTTTTTTCAGTGTGAAAGTTTTTTCCCTAGCCCTGCTGGATCTTTCCAACTGCATTTCTAGATTCAACTACGTTTATACACCCCACTGTTCCAGCTTCATGATCCCTGTATGTCGTGGTTTAGCCCCAGCCGGCAGCTAAGCACCACGCAGCTGCTCTCTCGCTCCTCTCGGTGGGATGGGGGAGAGAATTGGAAGAGTAAAAGTGAGAAAATTCAGGGGTTGAGATAGAGACAGTTTAACAGGGAAAGCAAAAGCTGCGCACACAAGCAAAGCAAACCAGGGAATTCATTCCCCACTTCCCATCAGCAGGCAGGTGTTCAGCCATCCCCAGCAAAGCAGGGCTCCATCATGTGTAACAGTGACTTGGGAAGACAAACACCATCACTCCAAACATCCTCCCTTCCTCCTTCTTCCTCCAGCTGAGCATGGCACCATATGGTATGGAATATCCCTTTGGTCAGTTGGGGTCAGCTGTCCCGGCTGTGTCCCCTCCAGCTTCTTGTGCACCCCCAGCCTACTCACTGGTGGGGTGAGAGGCAGGAAAGACCTCGACTCTGAGTGAGCACTGCTCAGCAGTAATGAAACAATCCCTGTGTTATCAACGCTGTTTTCAGCACAAATCCAAACCACAGCCCCGTACTATGAAGAAAATTAACTTTATCCCAGCCAAAACCAGCACACTGTATAAGCTCAGGTGACTTTATTTCCATCTGCAGTAAAATCAAGCTGAATGATGCGATCCCCAACATAGGCAGATCCTTAGCAATTTGCTAAGGAAACCACTTCACACTGGAGGTGATATCCCTCGGCAGTGTTTCAGCTAGCTGGATTTCTGTGTGCCGTGGCACTCCGCAGGGCAGCTGGCAGACGCTGCTGACTCTTGGCAGACAGTCACGGGAAGGGCAAAGCATTTAAAAGATGCCGGGCAACTTCTGGATTATTTGAGGCGATGCTATGCAACCCTGATATTTTGCAAATCTGGACATTAAAGACGTACTTAGGGAAATCTCCTTTCATCCTGCGTCTCCTTCAGAAAGAGATGGAGATAATCCTATTGCACAAGTCCCTTCTGGGCAGCCCCTGGGATAACTCCTGAAACATCTCACTCTCCAAGTGTGACACAATTGTGACACCTTTGTATGTTAAATGCTGGGCTTGCAACTGCTAAGAATCCTTTCAGCCTGTGACCGTATCATATTAAGGAAAAAGGACATGTGTATTTATAACTTAAACTTCTGTGCTTTGTGAGACTTGGTTTATTCTCTGTGTAGTCTGAAGAGGAATCGTGATGTTAAAGCAGAGGGAGGCAGTTAGCCAAGACTGTCATGATGCTGAAAACAGGTTTCTTCTTTTAATTCAGTGAGGTAGATAAAATTGAAATACCTTCAACGTCACGTTATCTTATGTTATGTATGTATTTGCTGAGCCCAGGAAAAGGTTGATTGAATTCTTGCTCTCCTGTGAGGCTTCTTCCATGGGTTGGCTTAAGTTACTTTGCCTAAAGTTTCTCTCCTGTAAAACTAGGGTAACGTGGGTTGATGCTTCCCTATTTAACAGTAGGTTTGTTACAGCTAATTGCTTGGTGAGAGTTTAGTGCTGTAATTATGATCTGAATTAAAGCTTTGCTTATGTTTCACATCATTGAAAGCCCTTCCATAGAATTATAGCCTCTTGAATCGGATATTAATCCTGCTCAAGTACACTTAAAACAAGCATCCTGTTGTTTTGTTCTGGCTATTCTTTGTGGATGGGCTTTCATGTTTCATGTAGGCATTTTTCTAGCAGACTGTTATTGCTTCAGGAGATGTGAAGGGAA